ATTCTGTGATTCTGTGTTTTTTTTGGTCGAGTCTGGTGGGAAGCTGTAACCGAGCTGCGTGCTGGCGCGGGGAAAAGCGAGTGCCAGCGCTCGCAGGCGCCTGGTGCCAGCCGGCCTCGGGCGCCAGCAGGGGCGGGAAGGGGTTCCTCTTGAGGCGGTGGCACTGTCCCCGGCTGTGGGGCATCTCCGGGCCGGGAGCCGCCGGAGCGCGCAGGCTGCCTTCCGAGGATCGGCTTCAAGAAGAGGAAGGCGTTCAAGCCACAGCCGCCTCGGTAGGCGAGGCGTATCCTGACGAGCCTAATACCTTAACGCGGGTGTTTTCGCACGCCCTTTGTAAGGCCTGCTGCCCTGTCAGCCCCAGTCTTACGTAAAACTGATACGTCATGGCCGTGTTGGGGTTGAACTTTGCAGTAACTATATATATAAAATGCAGCGTAGTCTTACAGGATTTGCATTGGTCTGAGAAGAGAGCCCTGGCTTTTCCTTTAGGCCACAGGTCCCATGAAATTTAAATTCTGACCAGTTTTGTCCCGCTTCATGTAATCACTTACGGTTGAATTGCTGCAAATAGCTTTTTCTTTAATGGCTTCTTGCGTGTGTACGGATTAGTACGAAAAATGTTCTCTAAACATGCTGATTAAGTTTTCCTTTTTCAGCTGCTCTAGTATCACCAAAGCTTAGGAAACAACACTGCTCATCTCGTGCCGTATATTTATTGTAGTCATAATGAGTAAGTTCACTGAGCTCTGTTGAGTTGATTTTTCTGGGCTTTTGTCACATTAGCAACAACTAATAGTCAATAAGAGCTTATCTGACTTTTTTTGGTGAAATTGTTCTTCTGTAAGGCTCAGATCGGTGCATGCACACGTGCAGATGCTTCTGTACCATGGAGGACCAAAATAAAAGGAAAGCTGTTGAGACTTTTATGGAATAAACAGTTTTATAAAATATTATAATTTTGTTGAGAGATTATATGGTTATATATGGTTAGTCATATTTTGTATGACTTGATTTACCAGCACTGCTTAATTTTTTTTTTTTTTGATTTATTTATTCTTTTAATGAGTGCTTTCTAAAGCGGCCAGTCTGCCTGTTGCACTTCTGGTTGGAGGAGTTATATACTCTCTCTACAGAAGTGTTTGTACTGCCTAAAAGAAACTGGTTGCTAATACAGGTTTGGCCTGTACTGCATACAACTCTACTTTTGGCTAGTCTTTTGAAATTGAAGATTGCCTGTCCAGGGTGTTTTCTCAGTAGGCTTTTTACATATTTGTCTTGTAATTCGTCTGTTGTAAATGTTGCAAAATTTAAGATTCTTCTGTATAAAATGTTTTATACAGTGTTGTGTGCTTTTCTACGTAATTTCTGTAGCAAGTTGCTCTTAATGTGTAATGCACACAGTTTAGTTTTTCGTAATTGGTAAGCTGTGGTTTGTACAGCGTGTACACAGTGAAATGAAATGGCAACACTGGCTAATAGTTTTGTAGTGGTTTGTATTTGTTCTTTTATCAATACTTGTATTTTAAAGATTTTGAGGTAGTATGACGAAAACAGGACTTAACGTATCAGTAAGCCAATCTTAGCCAATAGCTTTGTATCTTTTTTTTTTTTACCCTCTTAAGATCATCTAGAGGTCTTTGGAAAAACTGCATACCATATCGTATGGGGAAAAACCCTAACATTACAATGATGCTGAAAAGTGGATGTTTGAAGGGAGGCAGTGAAAGCATGCTGTGTACTCCCATTTTGTAACTCCTAAACACGGGTAAAATAAGCGCATATCAGTACTTAAAAGCTAACTTTCCATAAGTTATGCTGGTATAGCTGGACCACTTTCCCCTCTTTTTCCTTCCAAAATGATTGCCTGAAACATCTTTTTTTCCTCCCCGTTAGGATGGCAAGCTTCGATGAAAAGTGGGAGTCTGTCTTATATTCTACCATGCAATCGTCTGCCTGTGCAGTTGATGAGTCAAGTGAGAGTTTATACCTCCAATGGTCAGAAAAAAGATCTTGGATCAGAAGATACAAATAGATCAACCCCTGAAGAAACCCTGCATAAAGTTGGAACAGGTAGTACTAAGCTAAAATAAAGTGTTTATATAAACGTAAAAACTTTATGTAGTTATCAATTGTTAACTTTTTTTTTTTTCCAATTGTGTGATATTCTGGTTGCAGAATTATTAGTATTTGTTGCTTGTGGGCATCAATGTATGAATTTCGAATGCATAAGAAGGGAGGAATGCTGAAATTTATTTCTCTGTCATTCCAGTATTTAAAGGATTTAAGTTTAGAGTAATCAAATTTAAAGTGGTGATGATAAAATGTGGATGTCAGAAAGGATTAGGTAACTTAAGGGATAAGAAATGGAATGTATTACTTGTCTTTTACCACTTCGCTTGCTTACTTGAATTCTTTTTGTAGTATTTCAGGTTTGTTGTGTGAAATGAACTAGTGATAAAGATTGAATGAATGTCGATACTGAGCACTTGTGACTTCTCCAGGTCAGGCTATAGATGACTGGTAAAGAAGGTTGAGCTGTTTCAGCTGCTAGAGCTTTCTAATCTGACAGTTGTCACACCTGCAGCATTCACATTAAACACTTGATATAATGGACATAACCTGACCCTCCTTGCTGTTCAGTTTGATTGTCAATCTTGTGCTAGTTAGGTGCCTGTGAAATTCAGAACTGTCTTGTCCTTGCTCCATTGTAGCATCCTCTATTTTTTCTGCTTATTAAGTGTAGGACTGTACAGGTATGTGTTTGGAAGACTACTGTGCTTAAGAGGTAACAAATGCATTTTAAAATGAAAGCTTTCTTTCTATGTTCGCTTTTGTCTAAAACTAAGTGGTCTACTAAAGAAAATTTTCTTCTCTTCATTGTCAGGTTAGCAGGTACTTGTTATTTCTTTAGTAACTTGTAAATTCCTGACGCTTGCAGCAGTATTTAAAAGCTAGTAACTATAGCCAACTAAGAGTATTACTTTTCTGATGTTTGGAAGTAGAAAGGTGGATCTTAAATGTTGTTCTGAGTGTAACAATTAGATAGTATTTCTTAAGTCTGCGATCGGATTTTAGAAGAGGATAATACTTAAGACTGTTTATGTTTCTTGGACAGTCTTGAGCTGAAGATGGTTGCCAGAGGGCAAGATTCTTGCAGAAGAATGTCTGCCTGAATACAGTGAAAAGACTGTAGAGCCAGTTGTAGTTGTTGGTATTTTCTGAGTTCTTAATGTGCACTTACTGGTGTTAAAAATCGGGACATGTGAAAATAGTCTAGCACTGCTGCTTTCATGATTGCCTTAAGTTTATATAATTATTGACTATCATCAGAAGGGGTGTTCCCACCTTCTCTCACCCCTGTCTGATTACTCCGTCTCTTGTGCTGGCATTAATGACACTTAGGCCTGTTTTGTGAAAAATTGCTTTCTTGTTTTGCAGAAGTAGGATGGATCAGTAAGCTGATCCTGCTCACTGTCTCTAAAATGGCTGGAGGAGAGATGCTGCCCTTTGTGGCAGCGCGGCCTTGAGTCATAGTAAGCCTTGAGTGGAACTGCGCCATGTGGGCACTATGAGGCTTACCTTTTGTTGAGAGTGGGGGCTGACGTGTGCAAGTGTGTATGAAACCGCAGCCTAGAGATATTGTGCATTGGTGAGCAATTGCTTTGAAGTTTATTTTGGAATGCATATTGTTATATGCATGCTTCATATAGGGGGTGTTTTCTGGGGCCTAGTAGATAGATCGTTCTTACGCATTATGGACATATTACTGCTGTTTATTTAAAAAACCATGATATTTTGATAGAATTCTGAAAAGGTAATACGCTGCTTGTAAAGATTGCCATAATTTTCCAGTAACTTAAATATTTAACAAATAGTGGATCTCTTTCGGACCTCCATTTCTTTATCAGTAAACTTGGGAAATGCTTTTCCTGTTAATGTGATATTGAAAATATTAATGTATTCATCTTGAAAGTTCTATCAGATCAATCTCTGCTTGTCTGAAAAACAGTAATTGTGAATTGAACTATTCAGGTTTGTTTTTTTTTTTTCCTTTTCGCTGATGCACTGTGATTTTGTCCAGTCTCTAGGCTGAGGTAGTAAACTTTAAAAGGATACTTGGTGTACGTAGATCTCGGTGCATAGATATAAATCTTGATACTTTTGTGCCTTTTTATATTTTATTGACTTTTTGAGTCATATCCTCAAATTTCAAAACCAGCTAAAATACTTTGTTTTCATTCTAGCTCCAGCTTGTGTCACAAGAGTTGTGGATTTTGGTTTATATATTCTGTATTTTAAGGAGCTAGCTTTTTGTAGGTGAAAAAGCTTTGGTCCCTTAAAATTGAATTACAGCTTGAAAGCTCCATGAGGCTCGGATGATCAGCAGCCATAAACTATATAGAATTCATTGTATTTGCTGATACAAAATTTTGTATAAAACTTGCCCCAAACTATAAGTACACTGTTAAAATATTTTTTTAAAAATTCAGGATACTTTCTGAAGTATGTTGCAAGTTGCTTCTGCAAGCCACTAGGAGTTTTTTGATCAGCGCTATATTAAATGTCTTATTTTGTTATTTATTTTTTACTATTTCTGTCTTTTATTTTGGGAGTTTTGAATGTTGGAAATCTAGCAAAAATGTTTTTTAATTGTCAGGGTGGAAAGCGATATTAAGATATATTCTTATTTTGTTATGTCAACCAAACTCTTTACTAAAAAGAAAAGTAGGTACTTCCATATTTACCGTGAGCTTTATTTTTATTTTACAGGACAAGATACGACCAATGCAGGTCAAAAGCAGTCTTTCCTTAAAGAGCCAATCCAAGTGAAAGGTAAAGAAATATTTCCTGTATTGAAACTTTACTGCTGTCTCTGGTAGTCAAAAGAGATATGTGTAAGGAGTCTATGTTTCCTCTTCAATTGTGTAACAAGTTATGTGAATAACATTTTAAAACACACTTGTATGTCAGCTTTGTTTGGTATCCAGTTGTTTGAAAATGACTCCTGAAAAATCAAATATAGCAGTATTCCTTCTAATTACTCACTATTCTGTGTCTGTTTTTAATTGTTTCATTTAAGATGATGAGTTTGTCAGGAAAAGACTAATTTGTTTTCTCATCTGTTACCACAGTCTGTCCTCCTTGCATGTTTTTAGGCATGTCCATTCACCATCTCAGACTTAATGTGGCTAAGCTGAATACTTGATCTTCCCCTGTTCCATGTTCTAAGTCTTCCTCTGTTCCTTCTTATTGCTGAGTTAATCTAATCAGTGTTGCTTCTAAATATATTTTGACCACATGAACTGCCTAATCTGAGTCCTGTAATGTTCCCATTTGTGCCTGTAGTTAAATACATGCTTTTGTCTTTAGCTACATTGTTTAAAAACATAAGTGGATAAAATAAGAGCATAACTTTCTTTCATATTTTTAATTTATCATGACTTGATTTCACACCATCTTCACTCCGATAGTTTCTATTACGTTATTGTGAGAATTATGCTATTAAAAACTCCTGTGCTTTTGATCTTTCCATACATAGAAGGGTAGGAGTGAACTTTTATCAAAATAGAAATTGCCATTTCTCTTTAAACTCTGTCAAAAAAGAAAAAAAAATTTCTGGAGTGAAAGTGACTCAGCAGGCTATAAACTGTATCAAAATTCCTTCCTGTCTTTCCCCAAATTTAAAGAAACATCAAATCATAATACTTGCTAGTAACAAGGTGAGATCAGTGTCTCTCTGTGTATATTTTCTGTACGCTTTTGTCTACATCCTTTATGTCAATTTCTCTGGGTCTGTTGTCACTTAGTGTATGCATGCAGGGGGAACATAAAAGGTAGATAGGATAAATTAAGTACACTGTGAAATAATTGTAAAAATACATATATCTTCCAGTGAGAAGATTTTCGCCTCTGTAGATTATAGACACGCAAGCAAGAATGTTTATGTTAAAGACTTCGATAGTGTCTAGAAAGTGGAATACTAGTCTTCAGATGCTGCTGTGACTTAGAAACTTATTGCTCCAAGTATTACTAAGACAATAACATTTTTAAAGGATCACTAATCTTAAAAATTTGTGCTATTTAAAGTGTTTTATTTACATCATCTTTTATTGGTCTTCGTCCTTGGAACAAACAATTTGTCCCCCCCCCCCCCCCCCCTCCACTTCTATTGCCAATTTGATACAGTTATTTGAACTAGGGGTAGGATTGTTGAGACATTCTGCAGTGTACGATTGGTTATAGTATTTTCTTTTAGTGAAATTTACCTGTGTTTCTGAAAGATGGATTAGTAAGTGTTTGATAAATCCACAAGTTATTTTTTACTAAGGCTAATGCACTTTGGATATATGTCTGTTTTAAATAAGAAAAGATGGTAAGCATTCTTCTTGTTTAAAAATGTTCATCCTGTTCTAACCTTAGTAAATGGTGAACTGTTTTTAGGAAAAATCTAACTTTTTTTGTCACCTTCGCTCAGGAGCATTGTGGGATGAATGTGATTACTCAAGTACTTAAACAAAATGTTTAAGTTCAAACTGGATTACAGAAATTGGATTTTTATGGTAAATATTGATACTTGTAGTGTTAGTGCGTTGTTGAGTGTCAAGCAATATATTTTGCCTTTAAGCTTTCAAAACTCAGAAATAAGACAATGCAGAACTCTGGGGAAAATTTGTCTCAAAATGTTTAAATGCAGTATCTTTCTGTAAGTATCCTGTGACTTAAGGCGAAGTTCTGGACTAACTACAGAAATTGTATCAATCCTGTGATACGCAAGAAGTTCATGTGTGTTCATAAGTCGTCTCTCCTGCAGAATTTGTTTTCATTTGTGTTCCTTAATGTTATATCCTTCAGCAATTGTAACTCTTCTTCCAATAAGCATAACTTTTAAACGGAAATGAGTGTATAGTGACTTACATTTGAAAATAAGATGAACTTATGTACATATAGACAAGCAGGAAATAATGGCATAAATTTAAAATTTCATTTATCCTTTTTCTGACTACGTGTGGTGGTAGTTTCCTTGTACATGAAAATCTGATGTGATTAGAGTACATCTTCTAGACATACAAAGCATTATAAATAAAGAATGTGTATTTTTAATTGTTATAAATGCCCGATATTAAGTGTGCTAATTTTGAAAGTAATAATTAAGAAAAACGACGTATACAGTCTGTCTCAGTTCTCTGTATGGTCTGCAAAGGTCAATCAATTCCACCTTCTGCAGATAAGATTTTTAAGTATTGGGGGGAAAAAAAAAAGAAATGGAGCTCTATGTTGCCATGTCAGTTGCTAGAGCGAGGGTTTCCAAATTGCCGTATTTGAATGCTATCTTAGTAGCCAAACGCCATCTCTGACATCAAAGTTGGAGAAGTAGCTGGCAGCGGCAGTTAAGTGTGTGTGATGTTTGAGAGTCCTGAACTACAACTTAGCAAGTAGCATTTTTGGAGGTAAATCATTCTACTCTTACTTATTTCCACAATGAAGAACATTCCTTTCCTTTCACTGTAAGTTTCTGTCCGCTGACAAGCATTGTTTTTCAGATCTCCACTTAGAGGTATCATGATACGACACTAGATTGAATTATCTTTTGAAGTTTCTGCTGTTGTCTCCGTGAGTGACTTAACTTCCTTGTCTATTTCTGTTTTTAAGTGAAAGCAGTCCTTAAAAAAAGAGAGTATGGACCAAAATACACACAGAATAACTTCATCACTGGAGTTAGAGCAATAAATGAGTTTTGTCTTAAATCCAGGTATGATGGGTTTGAGTTGAAACTTAAATTGTGAATTTTTGTTTGTTCGTATGTGCTTCAAAAGTAATAGTGATTGTAGGGTGATTTTGCATAGCAACTTTTTCTAAACACTTTTGCGGTATACATAATCATAAGTGCCTGAAATTAGTTCTTGTTTACTTAGTGTTACAGTGGATTAGGAACTTGCATTTGGTTTGCATGTTTCCATAGTTGCTTCTTAAAGTAATTTATTTGTACTTATATGACCATAAATCTAGCTGGGGGGAGAGAGTGGCTAGTTATAGGGGAGAATGGCAAATAACTCTTGTTTCAGCATTTTGCAGTCATGATGGTTTGATGTGAACATCTTTAAAAGATCAGTGGAAACTTCATGTTACATGAAGTCTAATTTGGAATAAAACATAGTCTGGTTCATTGTAACCTGACTATTGTTACTTGATTCATATTTACTGCCTTTTACTATGTGCCATGCCTGCCAGCAGGTCTTACTGAGTATCGCTATAGTTGAGGTGTCTGTCAGATTTCATGCATGTTATGTGTGTGACCCATATTAAATCCAAAGACTTAGCAGCTTTGTTTATAACTCTTTATGCTGTCGCTGTTCCTCCCCGGTTTTTACATATAGTGTATGTCACCCAACTTGGTCTTTGCTGAAAATCCAGTGGCAAATTATGCTTAGTCCTCTGCCATATTTTTATCATAACTGGTTGCTTGTGCAGAGAAATAACTAGCTAAAGTTTTGCTGGATTGACCAAAGGGGGTGGGGGGAAGGACTAGATAATTGGTTGGGCTAAAAATGAAATGTTCTGTTGTATTTAAAAAAAAAAAAAATTAAAAAAAAAATCCCTGATGCTTCTCCATGTAGATGCCCTAATGTGTAGCTCAGCACAGGAAATTTTTCTGTTCCCCCAAGTAGTTTTATCTCCAACCTTTTGCAGCTTGTGCTGGGTGTGTAGGTTTTGAGGTTAAATTTCTTAACTTTTCATGTCACATGACTTCTGATTTCCATTTAGAGATGTTAAGCCATGAACCCTCTTGTTTAGCACTTGTGCACATTATCAGTTACGTGCAGATCATTCGTTGGATGTTTTATTATTTGTCTTCCACGTATAGTATTTCATAGTGCGAAGACATGATTTGGACTTTAGAGCGTGGAAAACAGTGGTTTTCAATAGCATTCTAGAGATCGCTTGCTTCATGTTGCATATCTGTTCTGTTTGGCTCAAGTAAACAACTTCAGTTTTTTGTACTGCAAATTAATAATACCAAAATTGTGGAAGATCACTCAGATAAAAGTAAAATTAGACTAATACGAACTTTTCTAGCACTAAACTGTTTGTCCACTTCCCTTAGTGATTTAGACCAGCTGAGAAAAATTAAACGACGAAGTCCCCATGATGACACTGAGACTTTCACTGTGTACCTGAGATCGGATGTAGAGGCAAAGTAAGAACATTTTTATAAAGGAAAAAGTTTGGATCATTTGAAATGGATTATATGAGAGAGAGAGAGAAAGAGAAAAAAACTTTAAAAAGTCAGGTTTACAATGTGAAAGGGCAATAATGTTTTCCATTTTCTATCTGAACACGTTTTATATCCTCATTATTGTAATAATTACATAGCGTATATAAAATTGGCGGGTATGTTTCATGTGTCCAAGGATTAAGTGCTTGTCCTCAGCCCCCTCTTGCCCAGCTTTTTATTCTGTAAAGTAGTCTGCGTGGCTTCTTATCAGAAAGAATGATGTGATGTTCTGCGTTTAGGAAAGGCGTTTGTAACGTAGTCAAACTGAAAAAAAAGTTGCATAAATCGAACCATTGTTAAGTTACTTTTACTCTGTGCAGGTCTCTTGAAGTTTGGGGTAGTCCAGAGGCTCTTGCTAGAGAAAGAAAACGACGTAAAGAGGCAGAGATCAAGTACAGAGAAAGTGAGTACAGAGTTTTCAAATAACTTCAAATGTAAACAACCAAGTATGATTGTTGGAAATCCACTAGATGGTGTGTTACTTCATTGAGAACATAAGAATTTGGAATTAGCAATTACTGATAAGGTTTTATAGCATAGTGTTAGAGTAACACATTACTATCTATGCAGATACAATCTGTTACTATCTTAAAATTTATCTATGTGATATAACAAGAATATAAATTCAGCTGAGATCTGTAGTCACGCTTTGTTTTTCGGGGGGCTTTCAATTTTTAGGTTATAATTAACAACTTCAGTGGTTTTGGATTTTTTTTTTTAATTGAGAATTTTGAAAAGACTTAAAACCAATCCAAGTCTTGATACCGTACCGTTACTCACTTATTTTTCCTCTGAAATTAATTCAGCTTACTTTTTGCTTCAGAAGGGGGGGAAATGCCCCCAAATCATGTTTTTGCTTAAAATTATTGTTGTCATCCTTGCTGGTATTATCAATAACAGGTACCGTCAAATCAGTAGTTTGTAATGGATTTTGATCTATCTAGTCAGTTGAAGTCACAGGAGAGGCAATATTGCTTCAAGGTACTTATTCCAATTATGCACCTTAAAATTAGAGGTCTCTTCACTTTTTTTCTTTTGAAACAGTTGTGCCACTGGAACACCCTCCTAGTAAAAAGGCTAGGGCTGCAGGCACTTGTTAAGGTACCTGTAAGTGTTTATACTGAGCCTGCAGTCATAGTTTCAGAATTTTTAGTGACCGGCAGAATAATTCTTGGACATAATCCAAAAAATGAGATTGAAAAAGTACTACTCAGTCATAATAACATACTGAAACATTGTATACTTGAAGTTGTAACTCTCTTTTACAGACTATCCTTGTACTCCACTGGCTGTTCTAATCTATTTAAATTATTGTGCACAGTGTATTTTGTATAACTTTGTAAGGGAGAATCTAGCACTACAGCTTCTAGATACTATAGTATACCAATGTTTATTTTGAAGTTACTAAACATCATTTAGTGGATGGAAAAATACTGATGTTGAGACTTGCTTTGAAATGCCCTTATCCCTCTCCCTTGTGGTTAAGGGACGGGAGGGGGGCAGTAGAATGCCTGGATTTGGTGCAGTGTATTTTGAGTTTTTCCCTCTGTGTATCATCCTTTGTTGGTAGAAATGGCAACGATGTATAGGATCATAACAGATTGTATTTGGCATTTTGCATAAGTATATAACAATATGTGTATCTAATTAACAGTACCAGGAGAGGAGTTTTTCACAAAGAAAGACAGACCAGGTAGCTCTTACTAGAAGTTGGCTGCTGCATAAAAAAAAAATATATATTTCCGTTCCTGAAACTACTGGTTACTAGTACGTATTCATGGTAACAATTTTGTATTGCAGATCTATTTAGAAACCAAAGGCTTTTGAGGGAGTACAAGGAGTTCTTTGGAAATACTAAGGTAAGAGATGTTTTAAAGTTTTTGGCTAGAAAAATGCCATGAGATGTATGATGACACCTTTTGAAGGAAAAAATTGTGAAACAGTTGCATAAGCTTAACTAACTGAATATTATTGGAAGATTTATTTGCACTGTAATATACCAGATCTATCTCTGGTTGTAATGAAGTGGTAAATGTTCTGATGCCAGTTTTAAATGGGTTCCTACTGTGGCAGTGTAATCCACCAGTAAGGCTTTTTTTTTTTTTAAAGTCAGTTGCCTTCTTATTAACAAAATTGTAGCTGTATTTGTGATTTCATCTATAGCCTATAAACATGTATAGTAAATATATTGTTAATTTAAAGAAATGAAATAGGTTTATAGGTTTCGTAAGGAAAAAAAACTAAAACATATTAACACTTTGCTCTGTGCCTTACTGGCCCTTCCTCTTTGCTTAAGCAGACCCATTCCCTAGATCCAGGTGCTCTGCTATGGTAGAATGATTTCTTAATCTTTCTGCTGCACAGCTGGCTCCTGTCCTTATGGTTGCAGTGGCCCCTGCTGGAGGCTTTGTTGGTTGTTTATCCTTTTTATAGCCATCCATTTGTAGAAATGTGTAAGACCCAACTGCAGTTTGGGTGGGCATTCAGTGGTAAATTAGTAGGCTTCAAGGATGTAGCTTCACTTTTGCAATACAGGGCAATGCAAAGTTTTTATTTAATAATTTGTATGGTAGGTCCTTCATGAGGTCAAGATTTGGTTATTTTATTTTAATAATCTCTTATTTCTTTATGTAGCCACGCTCCAGTGCAGCAGCTATGTTTTTCAAGGGACCAGGGAAGGTGGTAATGGTAGCTATTTGCATGTAAGTTAAAGAAAATAAATGTTTTGTTTATGCAAGTATAAATCAATTTATTTTTATTATCCTGGAAATGATAACAGTCTGTGTATTCAAGCTAAAGGTACCTGTGTCTCTGTAACTGAAGTTAATAGATTTGTTTATTCATTGATGATGGGAGAGAGTTTAGGTAAATACATTCATCAAAATATAGAGATCAGGGATAGAATATATCTCTGATCAGAGAAGAGCAAATTTTTTGAAGCTGATCAGACTAAACAGTTTATTAAAGTAAAAACTAAAATTTTGAAGGACATGGAGAGGCAGGCGTTTAAAGTTATCCTTTTTTCTTGCTCCTTCTTGAGAGGAAGCTTTTCATATGTTTTAAACAATATTCCATATAACCAACAGAAAAGAATTCACTTTTCTCTTTCTGCTGTTATTCAACTCTTTTCCTCTCTAACTGAAAAGGGGATATTTTAGGACGTTTTTGCCTTTTGCATGTCTTATAAGTTTGAATGAATGAAACAAAACTAAACTAATGATCCTGATTTTAAGCAAATGAACACAGAGACTATCTGGCATGAAATACACAGAAGTGTGTTAAGTTTCTCTCAGGAAACGATGGCTAAAATTTACTTGCCATAAAACCTGTGAATTTTTAAAATAAACTTGATTTTATAAAAGGTATTTGCTAAGACACTATTGATATAAGGGAGCAAAATAGAAACATAGGGAAAATGCTTTTTTGGCACAGGAAACAACATTTTGAGCAGGAAATAACTCTGAGTTTTCCTACAAAGCTATATGCTTTTTGCTTGGGGGGGGGACGGGGACCACAAAGGTGTTTTGACTAAGAACCTCCCTCTTTATTGAGTATTCTACTAGTAATTCTTCAGAGCTTTCTAAGTTAAAAACATATAAGAACTGCTAGTATGGATGTTTCTAATGGGGGGGGGGGAAGAAAAGGGAGGGGCGATGTTGTATGGTCACTTCCACCTCCTTCACTTTCCTACAATGATCTAGAGAAAACAGACCTTTCCTCCTGCTTTGTAAATAGGGCATTGCTATAAACATTGCACTCTCTTCATAAATACCTTTTGGATGATTAGGTACTTCTATAGAAGAATGCCTGGCAGCCAGGCTAGCAGAAGTTTGTAGAGCCTGTTGTGTTGCTCAGTCATCTTTTTGTGGAGCTTTTTTAGAAGTTAAAGGATCTCGTGGCCCTCAAATACCTGATGACTTTTCAGAGATTTAAGTCAAAGCCACCATCAGTGCCCCTTTGTGGCCCTTGACATCAGCATGTTTTTAATGGCTTCTGGTTTTGCGTCAAGAAAGGCCAATCTGTCTTAACTTCTCCAGCTGGAATGGTTTGGTAGGCTTTTCACAAACTTCAGGCTTCCCCAGTGAGGATGAAATGTGGCTCAATCGAAAGCAGAGTTCTGTATGGATCCATGTGGGAGGGTATAGACCAGCTGCACTGGCACACTCTACGTGCTTAATAGAATTCTGTGTGCGAGGAAAAACTTTGAAGCTCTGTTAGAAAAATACAGGAAGGTAACGATTCTTATCAAAAGGGAATGATTATTATTATTATTAGCAAAACATTCTTCAGAGTCTGGCATTGTTGACGTGATTTCATTGTCATGCTGATGCTTTACCTTTTAAACAATACAAAGTTTGCACAGTATATAATATTTTTTTAAAAATACTAGTGGTCAAGGTTGTTAGTAACGTTACTGCTTCTTTGGAAATAGATGTGATGACATGTGTTTAGTTCTCAAATCTAGAGCCTAAATAGAAGATTTTTTCCATAGATTCATAATAGATTTGAGTATTTTCAATTTGATTTTCTTAATTTTGACATTTTTTTTACTGTCCTTTCTTCAAAAGCCTAAATATTTTATGTAGGTAGACAGGGATGGTTGTGTAAATCAGACCAGGTCCTTCTGGATCATTATCTTATGCTGTAAGGTAGAGTATAAAAAGTGGGCAATCACATGATGGTACAATTCCCTATATATGGATTTCTCAATTCCCTGTAATTCCTGTTGCCCATATACATCTTGGGGTTTTGAGGTGGTTATCTTTGAAACACATTTGGAATGATAAATATGTCAAAGCAAGTATTAATGCCCTTTTTTTTCAAGTTTACAGTTCAGCGAGGATAGATTTATTTGAATTTGTTTTAATTTTACTTTAAATTGTTAAGTTAGGAACCTTGATTTGAATAATTGATTTTGATCTACTTTTGCATTTGTGTATTTTTGGTTTTTTTCTAATGAAAGGCTGATTCTGTTCATGTATCGGCACATTTTAAAGTTACCAATTAAATTTAGCCTTTACACTAAAATTGACAAGACTTCTGGCAGCAAGGAAGATGTATATCTGTTTCGCCTGTTCTAGTGACTCCCCCCCTTTTGTTGGTGAATGTCTGCCTCCTATGTGGACTTTGGAATACAGTTATAAACAATTATGTTGAATGAAATTGCTTATTTTCTAGGTGCAGAGGAGAGGCTTATTAGAAAATGCTGTATAGTAGTAGGTTTAATAAGCAAGAGAATTGTACCTAATGAATCATGGTTTTGGGGTTGTTTTTTTTTCCATTATTTCTTGGCATGATGTCCAAAACATTACAATAAATCTTTTTCAGACTTAACCCTTAGCTTTGGTTTAAGTTCTGTTAAGATTTCTTAGTCTTTCAGATCCATGCAGATAGAAACGAGGTAGCTAAATCAGTCAGTTCAGCTAATTTCAGTACAATAGAGAAAATACTTTCTGAATTGGTGGTCACTGACGTAAAAGATAACTTTGTTTCAAACTGATTCAGAGTAGAATTCAGATTCTCAGAATCTGCTGGTTTTAGATTATTTTTCCTCTGCTGTTTAAAATCTTTGTAGTATTTCTTCAACAGAATTTAGGCTTTCATAGGGCTTATTATTTTCAAATGCAGTGGTGAATTTGTTTTTTAAAGCAATACATATTTTACTTGCAGTAAAAACCTGACTTTTTTTTCCCCTCCCAAAACTGACTTTTATCTATTGTCTTATATTGATGTGAACATCTAGTCAGACAGGAAACACCAAATAGCCTTGATGGCTCTGTAGACTTATTAGGTTTTTTGTAATTATTTCCCGTGTAACATTCATCTTTCTATCCTATGTCTCCAACTTACTGGACATCATTAACAGATTGATTTTGCTGGGCCTGACATTTGAAAATCTCAGTGTCGTTTCTTTTTAGATTTGTAGGCTGTCAAATCCCCCCACAAATTTGGAATTTGTAGGGGTGAAATAAAATATCAGCTGAGTGCTTATTGTGTCATCTGAACAGGTGGGGGCCCCACAACTGAATTGTACCTTCAGATAAGCTGTCAACTCCATTAATACTACATTGAGAAGAACAATACAAAAGTCAAGAGACTGTGCTCATGAATCCCACTGTAATTTATTTCATTTTCTTTCTATGCTGTGAGTTGGAAGAACTTGTAATTAACACAGGGAGTTTAAATTATGGTTTAGTGTTACAACAGCCTTCCTTTCTTCTTGGGTTATCCACTAACTTATGGATTTTTTTACTTCCCACCTATAAATTATGGTGATGCTTCACCATCTCATGAGGTAATGAGACTAAATTAAAAACTGTAAAGCACGTTCAGGTCCTTGGATGGAGGGAGGTATAGAAAACAGTGCTACCTCTTGCTTGAAGAAGTGGATGTAGTTTCACAGAAATTTTTTAAGGATGACCTTGGAAATTAATGTTATTTAAGCAACTGTATAGTTTGGTGTATGGCAAGGGGCTGGACTTGTGCTTCCTCTAACTTAAATATAATTTCTTGGCATGTGGTTGTTCAAATGAAATTAAGTGTTATAAATAAGTATTAACAACACTTTGTAGTTGCATTTTTGAATACGTTTAAAAATTGCCAATAAGCTAAACTCAGATATATTAAGAAAGATAGAGGAGAATGTTATAATCCTCTAGTCTGATTTTCTTTGCAATATGATTGTAACAATTAACCTACTGATTCTGATAATGAACGTTTGAAGTGAGAATGTAGACTCGGATTTTAGTGCTAATAGTTACCTTTCTCTGTACAACATAACACAATGCTTACTCCAGTGAGCTCGTAACCTAAAAAAGACTTGACAAGTCACGCTGGACATCTTAATGTAAAAGTTCCATAGGTAATTTTTACAGTGTAATATAATGACAGCCTTGTCTTCCTGTGTGTTGTCTTACCTTTGTATCCTACTGAGACTTGCCCAAGCTGAGACCGAAGTGGGGAACCTTCCACTCTAGTATCAGGAGGGGATGTAAAGGAGGCAAAGGATTGAAGAAGGAGAAAAGGAAATCGTTAAGGCTTGTGTTCTCCCACTGGTAGGCAATTAGTTGTTCTGAGTAGTGAATGTGATGGTAGTTTTCAGGAAGTGTAACTTATTCACGACTGCTTAGAAGTTAACGATTTTTGAAAAACAAATCGTATATCTTTACATATCAAGTTTAGCTGAAAGGGCTTTTTAATAGTAACCATGCAGAAAATGTGTATGTCTTATCTGCCTGTACAGGTCTCTAATGATTAAACGGATACTTGGTTTCACCACTTGCTGGCAGGTGATGCATGATTATACAGCACTTGCGGTTTTGCTGAAAATATTAAAGAGCAAATATTCTGTTGTTCTCTAGCTTATTTCTTCTCTTTGTTTTCAGAAATGGGTTGAATTTTATCTTTAAGCTACTTGCTTGGGTTTACACGGGTTCTGCAAGTATGTTTTCAGAAGCCATACATTCTTTAGCAGACACATGTAACCAGGTCAGTATTTTTTCCATTCTGCTTAAGTTAGCACTTGTAATAATTTTTCAGGAATAAAGACAGATACTTATAGTGGTTGTATTACACTTGAAAGCAATAATTCAATCTACTAGTGTTCCTTAGTTTGCTTATGCTGTCTAAATAGTAAACACCAGAGAAGTAAAAACAGTATTTTATTTAGGAGGACTAGAGCGCATGGCAAAATACTGTTTTTCTTTACAAAGTTTGCTCATAGATGACATCGGCATTGTAGAGAAGCCTAGAAATTCCAAGTTTATTAGCCACAGCTCTTGTTAAAAATGACTCTGATTCTGCTGTGGTGTGTATTTACAGAGCTCTTCATGTTCAATACCTGTGGTCATTTTCGTACTGTTTTGTATGGTTTACATGCTTCCTAGAATTAATAGTAATTAATTATAAAATTAAGAAGGAAAAAAGCTAGTACTTAATCTAATGACCATTTAAATAATTTTGAGGCAAAACAGTCTTAAAGGTGTTTTTTAAATAAACAGTTTCATCTAGGAGAGGGTGTTTTTGTGTTTTACTTTATTATTAAATAATTTGTGGTTTCAGTCATTCAGATTACAAAGCCTGCCAAGAGCGTGACAAGCTCTGTGCACATGCAGTGGGAGGAGGATGAACTCTTTTCTCTGTGTGTGTAGTATACATGTATATTTTTTTAGCTTCCCAGAGACAAAAGTGAATCTCGGTTACAAAGTAATGTTAGTGTTATATACAGTTTTTATGAAACTGTAGGCAGATGAAAGCATATTTTGTCAGAAATTCACATTACTTTAGAAATATTGCTAAGCCCAGAGTGCTCTCTGCTGTTCCCCTATCTGAGTGCAAAGCTGTTGTTACTCTGTTGCAAATTTACTTGCCAAAACTAGTGGTTTCAACTAGTGCTTTCTATAGGTTTATCTAGCTGCACTTTTATTTTTTATATTGATGTCAGTAATTTCATAGAGGGTTTATAAGCTAACGGTAAAATAACTGACCTAGTTAGAAGCCTTAAATGCAGAAGGAATCTAGGAAGAGTGACCTGTAGTTATAAATAAAATCTATTTGAATGGTGTTTGGACTAGTATTTCTGCTAATATAATACTATTTGTAGTACATCTACATTATTTCAAACTGCCTGCCCCAATTACTTCTGTTCTTTTCTGAACTATTGTTTTTTCATAAATTGATTGTTCAGTACTTCAGTTGCAATTTATTTTCCATATAGCTATCAAGATGAAAGTGTACCAAAAAAGGTTAAATGGGTTATAATATTAGTCAAATATAAAAACATTAGGAAATAAGTCCCAGCCCAGGCTTAATTTTGTTTGTCACAATGCATATGCATAATGTGACCAGCCTTATCTTTAGGAAGTGGTGTCAGACCAAAATCTCAGTAATTTGGGTTACGTGCTCATTCCTCTCTGCCTTGCTCCCTGCCCCTCCCGGACAAGAATGATGTATCGGTTATCTTAATGTATTATTGAGTGCCTGTCCAGCTAATAAAAAAAAAAATTCAGTGTTTTTTAATTTGTATTGATGTAAGAATGAGACAAGTCAGAATGTAGATTCTTAAGTTTTTTTAGACATGAGTTGAACGAGAGGGGTTGTAGTAAGCAGAACTATACTCAGCTACTTCATGGATCATAAGTAGGACTTGAAACTAAGGTGATGTACAAAGTATACCTCTTTCCTGTTTTGGTTAAATGTTAACTTGAAATACTTTTCCTGTCAGTTATTGTAATAGAATGACAGACTTTGCTTAGTCATCTCTTGGTAGAATAACAATGAGAATTTGAGCATCTTGGTTTCTTTTTCTATTCCTAGACCGCCTTAGCAGCATCTCACAGCACAAATAGCCACATACCTGGCACACTTACTTTGATAGGTGGTGTGGCAGACTCAGAGCTGGGCACATAGTATTGGAGTGCAGGGACAAAATCAATGTTGTTTTTTCCACTATTTTCTTTAGTGTGCTTGGGGCATGCATTACGAGACCTTGAAATTTCCCCTTCTCCCAGTGCAGAAAGAATCTTTCTTGTTGCAGTTTTTGATATAGCAAAGCTTTGGAAACAAGAAAAGTACTTAAAGATGAGTGGCTGAAACCCTTCTGTAGTTCACGCAAGAGGAGTCCTTGGATAGCTTATGACTCTCATAAAATGCAACAGTCTTGTGCCCCTTCAAATATGAGGAATGTATGGAACCTTAGAGCAGACTTAATGTCTTAAAAGGCATTTTAACATAGTTTTAGCTACCTTTTTGCTTCAGTTGTACCTTGTATGCTTCTCTGTCCAGAAAGACTGGGTTGAAGACTCACATTTTGTTTGCTATTTTTCTGTAAATGGTTTTCCACAACCTTTCAGCTGTTCCAGCTATAAAGTGAAGATAGGGTGCTACTAACTCAACTGATAATACTTAAATTTATGGGGAGGCAGCCTTAAAGTGTGCGATTTTCATTTGGCCAAGTGTGTCAATTTATAGGTGAACCAAGTTTGATAGTGGTATTACCTACCACTTATGTGTGGTAGAGCTATTCTGTTTTTTAAATGTGAAAGTTAAATGTTTCACTGAAAATGCAGGGGGGGTTTGCTCAAATATTTGAGTATGTGGTTTTGGGAAAAACACAGGAGAAACCTTGCTGCCTCAAAGCAGCTTGCTGCTGTGAAGACTGAAGTGTCTAAATTTTAATACTTGTTATGTTTCAGTAATTCATAGTCCTAAAACAAAGCACATGCTTTGCAAAATTGAGGTAGGTTTATAACTTACTGCATCAATAGTTTAATATATGCCTAATTAAATATATCCCAAATGGGCCAATTAGATAGCAAGAGGTTTTTTAATTTCTTCCTTCAAAATAATTTTTTTTCTTTAGTTTGGAGAATACAAAGTTCACTACTGAAAGAAGATGCAGTGTAAAATTATTGCTTTAAATGTAGTATGCCATCACCATAGTCTCTGTACAATTTCTCTTTGAGAGGGATTTATTTAAATAGCTTTCTTCCCTGAACAACTTAATTCCTTCCCATTGAAGCAGAGCAACAACACTTGTGCTTGCACGTAATGTTCACTTTTGGTTGCAATTCTAAAATCATAATTAACAGCAATTATATATATATGTATACACACAGACTATATAATTACCTATATATTATATATAGGTATAATAACTTTTTTGGGGCAGCAGATTTAGATGACAGATTTTGAGGATTATATTCCAGCTCTAATACAATATCGGTAACAAAGCGTATGTGCAGATCAGCAAATTGCATCTACCTTTATCTTTCAAGTTCAGTTGATACAGAAAGTTTCTAGATTTTTTTTTTTAAACTTTTTTTAACAAGTTTTTTTCCTTTTGTCCTAAATAGGCATTGCTAGCTTTGGGCATCAGTCAGTCTGCAAGGACGCCTGACCCTAGTCATCCGTAAGCTTTTTGAGTAAATAATGATTTTGGTAATTATATGTAGGAGTAAGATCAGTTCTTGTTTGTGTGTCACCTTCTTTTTAATCTGCTGTTTTGTATCATTTCTGAAATGCATTGTTTCTGATTTTACAATAGACAAAATAAGAAAAGGGATTTCTTCCAAACTGCAGGCGTTGTAGCTTCAGTGGCTTGATGCATATTATATTTCATGACCTTTTTTTTTTGGTGGTATGCTTTTTGATGTGTATTATTTTAATAGACATTATTTCTTCAAGTTATTCTGGGCTCTTCTACCTCTTTTAATGGATAGGCTTACTTTTGTTTTTAAACTCTGTTCATGTGAATGACAAGATTTTTTAAAAATAAAAAATACTGTCCTCTTCCTATTTTTGACAAAGTACTTTTCTGCAAGGCAGCTACTTGTATCATGAAGAGATGTGTTTGACTTAAACTACTCTTTGTGTTTATCTGAGTAATAGGGATATTATTGATAAGTTCTTACAACCTCATGAAAGTTAGAAGTTACACTCTCCATGATATTTTCTTGGTGTTGACCTCCTTTACACTTCACATGTTTGGGCAAGTCATTCATACTGTAAGCACTAGTTCAAAATACGTCCAATTCACAGAATTAGTTAAGCTTTTCTTCATTAAGAAGGTAATTTGAAAAATACTTTAATCTTAAATTTGTATAAATAGTCATTGTATCTCCTTCCCGTCTCTCATTTTTTTCCCCTTCTTCCGCAATATAGTCTTTTGTACTATTGGTTTTTAAATGTTGCTAAAGAAATGTACTGTTTGCAGTAGCAGTTAATACCAAAAAAAGGAATAAAGGTACACTTTTAATACTGCTTTAGCTCTTCCCACTGCTCTTAAAAACTGCAGGTGTTGAATGTCTGCAGTTAGCTGAGCTACTTAAAAGATGTCACAAATTTTATTCCCTTTAAATTAGCATTATAAAATATGTAGACTGGCTGACTGTAAGGCTAGTTTTCATTTAGAAGTAGCATTTCCATAAAACATAAAAGTGACACGAATGTTGGTGTGTTTTTTATTTTACAGTAGTAAAATCCTCAGTCTCTGCACAAGAGCTAATACAGCTGTGTAAATAGCTTGTTTAAAAATGAATTAGAAGAATATCTATGCTTGATGTCCTTGCATGTACTAGATACCCTTTTCCAGGTGACTTTTTTTTCCCTTTTATTCGGTTGGATTTAGCAGCTTTGTCTTAAATAGATGCCCAGTCATATGAGGATAATTTAAGACAAGTAAAAATTAATGGGAAAAACTTGTCGATATGTTTGCAGAGATGTAGAATCTTATCTTCCTAAATCACTTTCTTTCTTTTCATCTAGGTATGGTTTCACAAACATGCGCTATATTGCCTCCCTGATTAGTGGGGTGGGCATTTTCATGATGGGTGCAGGACTTTCTTGGTATCATGGGATCATAGGTTTACTCCACCCTCATCCTATAGAATCTCTTCTCTGGGTAAGCTAATCTTGTTTGATATTGTATCTAACACTGTGCCAAAGTAATGGCACAGTCTGAAATTCACTTCCTGAGTTGGTTTGAATCCCAACACAGTTAACTCTAACCATACTAAATGAGAATGTGCTTTAAGAAAAAAATCGTGTCAAACTATAGCTGATCTTACAGCAAAATGAGCTGTTCTTTAAACCCTGCATCTTCCCTTCACACCTCCCAAGAGGTTCTCCTTTCCTATTTTGCAACATATTGCATAATTAAAATATTGTTGGTTGCCTTCTGTTTAGGGACAGCTGCCCGGCACAGTGGGTAATGAGGTTCTGGAATGCTGCGTTTGGATAGTCGTATGGTGAAGAGATCTGTACAAATACGCATATAACATAATAATCGAGACCTTTTTTTCATACAGGCATACTGCATTTTAGCAGGGTCACTGGTATCTGAAGGAGGTACGTAGTTTCAAGAAATATTTCTATTTAAGTATTTGTAATCTCTGAGTACAATGTGAGTAATTACCGTAATAATTGGTCCTTGCTTACACAGTAAAGTTTTGAGCTCTGTTGCAAATACTTGTGTTGTAAACAAACAAAAAAAAGCGGGAAAACTTTTTTCTTATCTGTCTATATAATAAGAAGTTGAAGAACACATAATTCGGAAAGTATACATAGTTTGATACCAAAAAGACATTCTATCAGTGAATATAACTTCCGATTTGTATGGGAGACACGCATGTAGAAAAGAAGGTAACTTTATGCTTTGTCATTATTCAGAGTATCAATAACCAGAGCTTTCTTGACTATCTGTTGCTATGATGTAACGAAAAGTTCCCTCTTTTCAAAATGGAAACAAGTATTTTTGCCTCTAACCATTTTCGGCAACTACTTTGGTGTTGTTTCAGCTACCCTTCTTGTTGCTATAAATGAAATTCGCAGGAGTGCTCGAGCCAAGGGTCTGTCATTTTATCAATATGGTATGTGTCGTTATAGCAATAAGGTATGTGGTTATTTAAAACAGAATCTATTTACCAGTATTTGCATAATGATAGAAACAATTTTGTCTGTTTTCCCTTTCCCCTTGCTTTATTGATCTGTTTTCTATTCTAGTAACAAATACATTTTACACATTAGGTGAAAACCTATTGATTTAAGTAACACTACTTAGATACTTTTACTAAACTACTTGCATTTTTCACGCTAAATGCCCCTTTAAATTTTTCGAACATTTTGGAGAAGCTTCCATAATTGGCACGGGGCTTGTTTTGTGTATTTATGAATGCTTTCAGAAGTGTGTGCGTATGCAAAAATTGAGTTTATGCCTATATACTTAGGAAATTTTTCTCTTTAAGTTGCTGGTGTTAGTATAGTTTTTTAAGTACTATGCATAATGTAGTAAAGCTAAGCTTTCCAAAGCAGTGTAATTTTTTTTTTGTTGTATACGTAGTTGTGCAGAGTCGTGATCCTAGTACAAATGTGGTGTTACTGGAGGATGCCGCAGCAGTTCTGAGTGTTGCTGTAGCTGCTACCTGTATGGGTCTGACTTCTTTAACAGGTAAAATTCTGCCTCAAACTGAGGCAGGCAGGATGTGAATTTCTTCCTGTGCATGATATGAACACAGAGCATTTAATTTATATTGGTTGACTTAAATACTTCTCTACTCTTTTTCTGATACTTGTGCTGTGTAGGCTTCTGGAGGTTTATACTGTTCTCTGATCTGATTTCTAGTAGTTTTGAGTTAGTTGAAAATATTTAAAATTAAAAAAAAAGTTTGGGGTTTTTTATGTGTCTTATTGGTGGGGTTAAGCTTGGAAGGGTACATGCAGGTGGGTCTAACTTCCTTTTGAGCTATTTTGTCATAGAATGATAGAATCATTAAGGTTGGAAAAGACCTCTAAGATCGAGTCCAACCGTCAACCCAACACCACCATGCCCACTAAACCATGTCCCTAAGCGCCTCATCTACACGTCTTTTAAATACTTCCAGGGATTGTGACTCCACCACTTCCCTGGGCAGCCTCTTCCAATGTTTAACCACTCTCTCAGTAAAGAAATTTTTCCTCATGTCATACAAACGAAGGTATTTTTTACTGAAGGTGTATTTATTGTAGTCAGCTATGTAAATCACTTTGTGCCATGGTGGGATTACATAATTCAGTGGTGTGCGGCTCCATGTGCATGTGGGGAGGATTTAAGGACGCAGTTCTCTCTTCCTTTTGATATAGTGGTATTAGTGTTATCTTCAGATTACAATAGCTGCTCCTGAACAGTGTGGCAAACCTAACCCACGCAGGTAGGATAAATCTGTATGGCAACTGATTCAAAGTCTGTCTTTGCACAGTTAAGTTTTCTAAAGAGGGAAGATTATTTATTTGTCCCTTTTTAAGTATTGGCTTTGGCTTTTCAATTGTTTAAAAAAATAAAGATGGTAATTTTGTTTCTTTGTGGCTTCTAATGAGTTAATTGCAAGTTTCATTTTGTTATATAGAAGTCAGTTTTTTACTCCATCTCTAGTTTCTTTCATAAACTTAAAAATACATTACTGTTTCTACAAATCTGAATATGAATGAATACGTGTTTAAAACTTATAGAATAAGTACTGTATTCCAGGAATGGTTAATACTTGCAAGTTTTTGAGTTACTGATAAAAGAACAGACTTTTGTGCTACTACCTGTGTTTAGGTGTATATAATTTTATATTAATAAAGGTAAATCTATACACAGAGACCCAAATAGCTGACGAGTTTAGTCATTTATTAGTCCTGCAGGAGACGGGAGTGGCTGAGGGACAGGAGGGACTTGAGACTTTATCTTAAGATAACTTGTTTTCTTCCAGCTTCTTGTTCCTCAGTAGGAAAGAATTGCCAGTGCGTTAAAAGAAACCCAAAAAACCCCAAAACCAAACAAAAAAAATCCCACCAAAGGCAAAAACCAAAAAATCCAAAGAAAACCCCCAAAACTATGTAGTCTTTTCAGTGTGAAATCTGAATTATCTGCTGTGTTTTAGAAATGCTCTGTGAAACTAATTTGACATGTCTTGTTTAGGAAATCCTTATTATGACAGCGTGGGGTCTCTAGGTGTTGGAACTTTGTTAGGAACTGTGTCAGCATTTCTAATCTACACTAACACTGAAGCCCTGCTGGGACGATCCATTCAACCTGAACAATTGCAGCGACTCACTGAGTTACTGGAAAGTGATCCTGTAGTAAGGTAAGAATCTTTACAGCTCAATCTCTATGAAGAACAACAAAAAGCAATAAAATAGCATTTGGAAAAAAATAGTTCAAGCACTTTAAATGAGAGAAGTCTGGTGAGATTGATTATTTTTAGGGTGGATTCTTCTGTATTGAGATTTTAGAATCTTAATTATTACTAACTTCTATTTCTGTGTTAAAAATTTCAATAAGTGAATATTCGTACCTCTCAGATGTTCCATAGCTGAAATAAAATTGCAAATATGTTCTAACAGTTATATTAATTACAGGAGTTGACAATAACTTAATGAGAAAGCCATCACAAACTTAAAACTATTTTCAAATGCATGACATGCAAGCACTTAAATGATACTGTAATGTTGCTTTTATAGTTTATTAGCACTTAACTATTTAAATTGTTACTGTTAATATTCAGTGTCTGGAATTCTGTAGCAGCTGGCAGTGAAGTGCTGCAGTAGTATTATGGTGTAATAGATTCTGCATATTAGATGCTTACAGAATGAACTTAATGCAAATTTCTCTTTCTTTGGAAATCTGCAATTTGTAGTGAAATAAACTTAGAGCTCGTGATTCTGAGATCTTGTTTAAACGCTTTTTTAAGGAGCTATTTTAGCTTACTTTAACCCTATTAAAGTTGATTTAGAAGCAAACCCCTTTTTGTTTTCTTCTTAATCTTTATTCAGTAATATATTTCTGTGTGAATCAGCTGGAATATTTTAGTGTGTTTTTAATTTGTAGTCATTACTGAGCTCTGAAGGGAAAAAACCCAAGCCCATTAGTTAACACCAGAATACTTGAAAGAAACTAAGTGGTGCATCATCTCAGTTGCAAGCAACAGGTCTGAACGACATGCCCTTCATTCCAGAAGCTAAACAAGATTCCTATTTTGGAATAGACTTGTGTTAGAATTTTCACATGTCAGTAACTAAACTCTGTTAAAGCATTTGTGGTGGCCCTGGATTAGTCTGAATGGTGGAGCTGTGTGAACAGTGCTGTGTTCAGCACTGTTCACAGTAGGTGAGATCACATGGCTATTGTACATGACTTCTGTAGTTCTTTTTTCCAAAGTGCACAGGTGGCTTTTGCTTGTCTCAGGCTGGAATCATAAAATTTCTCCTATCCCGAGCACCATTTTATATTACGTTCCATTTTGTAGATGGCTATAACTTCTCAACAGAGCAGACTTAGTTCATCTCCTGCTTGCTGTAGACTTTTTTTTAAAACAAGAAGTAACAATTTTAAAAAAAAGCACGAAGAATAAAAAAAGTGAAGACTTGGTAAGAAAATGCATGTTTCTCTTAAGGTTAGAAGGTGAAACATGTTTAGGTACTTGTCATAACACTGTTTGCAGGACGCACTTTGTCTTGAGTGATCTCTTTCTTAGATCTTACGTTATCTGGTTTGATTTATTTTAGCGCACACTTTGTCTTTGACTAAGTTCTTCTTGTAACAAGCCTAATATCTTGAGCTTGGTTAACTTACATCTTCTAATAAGACGCCTGGTCTTGATCTCAGAATTCTTTAAGATTATTAAGGGTAATATACGTTTTAGTATATAGTATATATTGTAACTAGGCATAATTTGGGGAAAAAGCTACTCTTAATTTTTTTTCTTATTCCAACTAACTTTGGTTAGTTAGTTAAGTTTTTTGGTTTGTTTGTTTTAAACTTTTTCCTGTGAAATGAGGAAGTCTTTTAGCACCAAGTATTTCTTGAAAAGGCTACTTGTACATTTTCATCAACATAGCTTTGGGCTTGTAAGAGTTTCAGCATTTTCTTGAACGTTCAAACTCCCATTTTCTTAAACGGAGTTGTGTAGTAGTATGTCCTACTCTTACATTTTTAATTTGTCCTGCTGACACCAAATGTAAAAGAAAAAGCTCTTGAGTACTGGTCTGCCTCTAAAGCTGTGACTAATATTTGCTCTTTTTATTTCAACTTTTCAGGGTTTTCAGCTATCAAACTGTATCTGAGTTCTCAATGCAATCCTTTCCGCAGGTGCGGCTTCCCAGGACAGTCCTCCCTTGTCCTTTCAGGGAGGGTTTGCAATCTTTATTTTCAGCTGTGTTCTGCCAAATATGAAGGGGATATATTAGGGAATCATTTAGTGTTCATCAGAAGGTATTTAGATCCAAATTGACCAAAGAATCCAAAGGTTCTGATCTCCGTTCCCCCCTGCCCCCATCAGCACCACCACCACTTAACTTACTATTCCAGCAGAAGCTTGCCTGAACATCATGTTCCACTGCTAATTATAAAGTATTTGATTTATCAGACAATACTAACTGCTGTACTACTAAAATAAATAATCTCTGCTGTTGATCTTTTTTTTCAGCTAAATCTTGATTTTATTTATTTATTTATTTTTAAATAGGGTTGTTTGACAAGACATACATTCCCTAAAACCTTAATGACTGGAATTAATGCTCTTGATACATAATTTTTTTCCCCACCTTTTATGCTATTTTTCCTTGGGATGTCAGGTGAAGTTGTCTTTAGTTAAATGGATTGCCTCATTTGCTGTTCTTAAATTTTAGCACAGTGTTGTTAATCTACTTTTTTTTTTTAATTCTCAGCAGTATTGCAGGATGAAAAATTAATTGGTCTTCACAGTTGTTCTGTGCATTCTTTTTACTTTTGAATTCTTGCATTCTTTTTACTCTTGAATGCAAGTTATGGAGCCTGCTGAATTAGAAGCATTTTTTTCTTTTAAATATCCAGTATGCTTCTCCGCTACTAATAGGGAAATGCTTTGTTGTACTAATATCTTGTTTTACTTTTTTAGATCAAGAAAACAATGATTAGTGCATGTTTCTGTGTATTCTGTGTCATCAGTAACGATTTTACCATTGCCATCTAGTAGCAGACTTGTTTCCAGGTTATCCTTTGGTTTTGCAATACTTAAAAAATGTTGGTTTGTATCACACCCAATGCCTTTTTTTATGCTTCTCCTATCAGTTTGCTGGACTTCATAATTAGTCTTTTAGGCTCATGGCTATTTATTTCTCCTTTCTTCTCATTTTGCTTGGTAATTTCTAGTTGTAGCCCTTATTTCATTTGTGATCCAGAATGGGCGTTCAGTCAGAGTTGTTCTCAGCTGGAAAATGATTTGATTTTATTTTTTGCTATACAAACATTCTATCCTTAACTCTCATTCACACCTTTGGTGCCTAAATCTTTCTTGTGTTCAGCTTAACCGAAGTGTAGGAGATTAGGCTTTCAGAACTGTGAAACAAAATATATGATGTGGTACAGACTGTCCTGATTCTGTTCTTATGGAATGTAATCACAGATCCCTAGGCATAAACTATTCTCAGTGACAGTTTAATTTTTACTTCATTGTAACAGTTATTGGGTAATTGTGCTACTGTTGTGCTGGAAAATCTGTCGTTCTGGTTTGGAGCGGGGGGAAAAAATGTATTACAACTGATGGCTCAAAACCAATAACTTGACGTCCTCTGACAAATTTTTCTTTAAGGTGAAACTTACTCTTTTCCTTAGTTTGAATTGATGGTGTCTACTAGCCATCCAGAAGCTTCCATAAGCAAGCTTTGTAGCTTAAGTCTTAGCATACACATTTGTATTTTTGAATTATTAGTGATTTTTCTCCTCCTGACTCACTGTCTTATCTTTCCTGGACAGATTATAAGCAGTAAGGTAGACTTTTTTTCTTTACACTTACAGAATATGCATCATTCCACTGAATTTTATCAAGTTACTGCTTAATGAGAATCTCAAAAATCTCGTTATCTTCTTGCTTAGCTCTGATAGGCACTTGAGATCTTCAACATTTTTGAATCACATGAATTCAAATTCTTTTCAATAACCCTCATTGAACCACATCCGTTATCTTTAAAATACCCTCTTGTGTGAGGAGGTAGTTTGATGCCAGTTAGGTTGCTCCAGTTAATACTGTTTTGATTTGGTAGCTTCCTACAGAATAGCTGTGTAAATTTGACTGGAGCTGGAAATTCATTATTGCTACCAGTAAGCTGATAGTTCTTTTAATCTGCTTAAATGTTTGCTAAGATGTATTTTTTGGTGTGTCTATATTTAGTTAATGTTCTATTTCTTTTTTAATGTGCTTACCCCTCTTCCACCCCAAGCATTACAAGAAATATTCCATAAAAGTTTCCTGTGATTGTTCATCTTAAATTTCTGCCTCCTGTTCTTTGTCGGCTGTTTGCTCTAGCAGTCTACTTCCGAAATATATGCCTTCTGCTTTCTTCCTGCACCATCTGTGAAGTTAGTTCTGATTTATAAACGTTCAGATGAGAAGAAACATTTCTAGTTGGGAAGAGTAAATTTGCTTAAGACAAAGGGCATGCTAAATTTAAAGATGCTGTGAGATTGCACAACTTAGTAAAATGAACAGGGGGAAAAAAGTTTAGTACTTTCCATCGAGAGAGCTTTATTGCTGAATCTAAATTTTGTGTTAGAATTTAAAAAAAAAAAAACCTGTCAAGATTGCATTTTTCTGTTAATAAAACCAGAGTCTCTGGAATATTTTATAGTTGACCTCAGATACTTGTTTTGCTTTGGAAATGTCAGAACAAAGAATTTCAAAAATTTGAAACTTCTTTGTGATTTATGTCCCATATTTTAGTCTCCACTTTTTTTCTGGCCTTGATGGAAAAATGTGGAAACTTAGTCTGCAGTGGCAATTTTAAATTCTACTTGGCTTTAAAGATAAACTAAGTTTGTGTTAATCTAATTAGAAAAAAACTAGATTTGTTCCACCATTGAAATGCACCACAATATGTCTGGGTCCTGAGTTTGCTTCGTATCTTCTTGTCCCTGAAAAATAGAGGGCTTTTTATTTATTGCCTATATTCACACATCATGGAGTTTATCTAACAAACTGGAACAAAACTATGCTATAGAAAAACAGAAGTTTTCAAAGGACCAAAATACAAACATGTTGCAACATTCAGGAACCTTTAAATAAATACACATTTTCAGCATTTACAAACAGCTGTCTTGTGATTAGTTGTGATCAGTGACTCAGTGTGATAAAAAATGAGTTCCAAACACAATATCCGTAACTTTCTTATATCAAATATAACTTTGAATAGAAAATTCTCCAAAAGGTCATGCCTTTACAAAGTGTAGTTGTCTTAGGGAAGGATACTTCTATAATTGCAATGTGTGGTTTTAGTAATTGACAATAGATTGTTGTTCCTTACCTCAGAACTGAGGGTACTTAAAGATTGTTAAACGGTGTCATGTATATGCATATGCACAAAAATTTGTGCAGTAGCAAGTAAGTTGAACTTAAAAGTTTAACTCAGAATAGGGAAGTTCTCACTTTCTGTTGTGGGATGGGGTGGGGGTCTTTTATACTACTAGTCTAGTTCTAAATCTGCGATGCTGCTTGTAGTCTATCTTTTATTGCAGCAAGCCATTTATAGATGTGTTGGTGTAGCAGATACCTGTGGAAGTTGTATAACCGGTTAAATATAAATCGGTGTTTAATGGAAGTGTGTGGTGGCAAAATGAAGGTATGTTAGTCAAAAGCAGTGGCCTTTTAAAATTACATGATCATTTTACTGTGATGATATTGTTAACATCAGAAGCCAAACTAGCTAGTTGTTTGTTTTATGTTTGTCCTGGTTTCGGCTGGGATAGAGTTAATTTTCTTCATAGTAGCTGGTACAGTGCTGTGTTTTGGATTTAGGGTGAGAACAATGTTGATAACACACCGATGTTTTAGTTGTTGCTAAGCAGTGTTTATACTAAGTCAAGAACTTTTCAGCTTCCCATACTCTGCCAGCAAGGAGGTACACGAGAAGCTGGGAGGGAATATAGCTGGGACAGCTGACCCACACTGGCCAAGGGGATATTCCATACCATATGACGTCATGCTCAGTATATAAGCTGGGGGGAATTGGCTGGGGGGCAGCGATTGCTGCTTGGGAACTGACTGGGTGTGGGGTTGGCGGGTGGTGAGTGGTTGCATAATTTTTTTTTTTTTTCTTTCCCTGTCTGTGCCCCCCCTCCCCCGTTTTACTTTCCATTACCATTTATTATTATTAATTATTATTATTCTATTATTTCAAGTATTAAACTGTTCTTATCTCAACCCACAAGTTTTCTTACTTTTGCTCTTCCAATTCTCTCCCCCATCCCACTGGGGGTGGAGAAGAGTGAGCGAGCGGCTGTGTGGTGCTTAGTTGCCAACTGGGGTTAAACCACGACAATGTTGTTCTACATTTTCTTTAAAAATTATGTGTTTCAGAGCAATTCATGATGTTAAAGCCACAGACATGGGAATGAGCAAAGTGAGATTCAAGGCAGAAGTAGACTTTGATGGACGGGTTGTTACTCGTTCTTACCTGGAAAAACAAGACATTGAACAGCTGCTACAAGTATGTTTAAAAAAAATGATTTTGTAACTTCCAGTATTTGATATTTACTTTCCAATTTCAAGTATGTCTCAAACCAAGATTTTCAAGTAGGTGAAATAATTCCACTTCTTCATTTTGAAGGATTGCAGATGTTTTTACTTTGTGTTAGTGTGTTAAATATCTGTACACAGAATCATATTATGTGCTGCTGAAATAGAGCTACTTCTGGGCTGAGTAGGGCCTGGGTAGGAGGAGGGCAGATTTTTTTTTTATTCAATTTTTTGTTAGAAAATACAGATTTGTCCAAAATAATTTTGATGAGAACATAATTCTTCCAATGAATTTTTATTGAATTACAAGATCTCTAGTTAAAACTGGAAGCCTGTCACCTGAGAATAAGCATCTGTTTTGGCAGAGCCATTCGCCTTGTGTGCTGAAGATGCAGTGTTACAGTTTACAGATCCTGCCATTCAGACTAGGCTTGAATATGGATTGCTTGCATCACATGACTTAGCATTTTGACAGTGTTTAACAATTAACCACCCTTAAGTAAGTGTCTGTCTCTGATTTTAGTGTTGTTCAGAGTAGGTTTTCTTAATCCCTCTCTTCAATACAGAAGTGCAAAATTGCTTTCATCTGGATTCTACATGGCAAAGCTATGAAGTATGAAATAAAGAATAATTTATCTAAATTACAAGGACAGTTTTAAGTGAGCAAAATGTTTTGCTTGCTTACCTGTTTTCAACAGTAACTTGCTTATACACATTTGCTTGTTTACCTACAAGATTTCTTTCTTTGCTACCCTCTCAAAATGAAAAGTAGATGTCAGGTGTCTGCGTTTTATGTCTGTCCGTTAAACACGACTTAGAAGTTATCCGAGTTTACATTTAAATTACTGCAATAAGTGATCTGTTCATGTATTGGATTTCAATTTAATACATTTCTGAGAGGAAGAGTGCTGTGAGCTTTGTACAACTGAGGCACTGCAGGTTTGCTTGGTTTTATATTGCCAAGTCTCAGTTGCTTTGCTGTTGCAGCTGTTTAGTACGCTACTTTTCTTTTCAAAGGCTTTGTTAGCTTTTGTCCTTTACCCACTATTCCCTTTGGCGATTGCATACAACCTTCACTGGTTCTTCCAACTAGTATTGTTGGGAAAGTTTTTCCTGATTGTTTCTGCATTGGCAACTGTTTCTTACACAGGTCATTGTAGTTTAATGTAGTTTCAACCATTGTTGAAGGATAGCTGCTTTAAGCACACCCAAAGTCAAGGGCAGACATAGTGCTTGGCTTTTGATCTGTAGTTTTTCAAATAAGTAGCTCATTCAACTAGCATTGCTATCAACATTACTCTTTCTGAAGTTGTGAAATGTTTGTTGAAATGCTGTCATTCAGATTAATCTCATTTCTTTTTCTGGTTAGACTTGCTGTGATTGTAGTCATAGGTTATTGTGGTTGGGATATCTTTTAAGCTCAGTCAATTACATTATTCCTCTTCAGTTTTAGAGTAGTGGCGGGGGGGGGACGGGGAGAAATGGATGTTGTGTTGTAGTTGTATGCACAAGAAGAATTAGCTATTTAATAATTACTCTGTTAGCAATAACCTATTTGTCCTAAACGTACTGCAGCTGTATTGCCTAAACTGTGGCTGAGATACTACAAGGCAAATGGCTTCTGGCCAACTTGGTGTGAGACCTGTAAGGAAAGCTCATGATAACGCTGTCATACCTGCTTTGGTGCTTCTGATGTCTGTGTTTTCTTGGAGGGAGGAGCATAGCATCCTGTCTTCCTTAATCTCATTCCTTCAGTCTCGTATGCTATGGGTCTCCTAGTCTGAGTTCCTATCAACTGTCTTTGAGTTTTTTGATGTTATGGAGGAGCCGTATTTATAGCAGCATTCACGGTAATCCCTGTGGATTTTCAGATGAGTTGGTAATGTGATGCCCAGAGTAAGCAGCGTAATGGAATAGCAAGAATGTATGAAAATGAGGAAAGAATACACAGGGGTACCCTGCTCTGCCTTGCTGTGAGCAAGGGATACCCCAGAAACTTCTAGAAAATGAATTAAGTTCTCTAAACTTATTTGGAAAATAAAGGAGGAAATCCATTAAAGATAGAAGAAGGTTTTATATCAAGTGCAGGTGTAATTGTAAGCCAGCTGTTTTCATTGAATAGTGCTACTCTTCTGTGTCTTTGAGACGTAAGAACAGATGATGTTTTGAAAGGAAATGGCAAAACCTGAAAAGTGTTTGGTTCCCCCCGCCCCACCTTGAAATATGTGAGGACCCTCTGTAGTGTTATTCCTTTCTTTTCTTTCCCTCATCTCAACCTCTTAAATTTGATTTCTTCCTAGGAAATTCAACAAGTGAAAACCCTTGAAGAATTAGAAGCCTTCATGCTTAAGCATGGTGAGAATATCATTGACACACTGGGAGCTGAAGTAGACAGACTTGAGAAGGACCTAAAGGTACAATTTAGCTGCTTATTAGGGAGTGCTTCTTCTGTGATATATTTCAAACAATATCACTGCATCTACCTCTTGGGATTTTGTTTGTAAATATGAGAGAGGGGAAGAAGTTGATAATCCTAATGCAAATTTTCTTGCTATAGGTATCATTAACTAAGTTCTGACCAGCAGCAAACCCTTACTTTGCCATTGATCTGTTTGTTATGTATTTGGTTCAATTTTATACCACTGTAGAACAGTGTTTTTGTGAAATGAGACCTGATTGTGTCTTTGTTACTGTATTCTCAGAATGTCAGGTTATTTACAGGCTGTTGAATTCTGTTTTGGTTGTAAAGAAGCAAATTTTTTTTTTTTTAAAAAAATCTGGTACTTAGCATTGTATCAAATATATCAGTGTGTGATGACGGCTTTACTCAACATTTTTTGCTCTTGTTGAAGCAGTACAGTGTTTACTTCTTTATAAGCCTGTGAACTTTCTTCTCATTACTTTTTTTTCATTCTGTGACTTAAATATCTTTTGGTTGATGCAACAAAGAATTGTTTCCATTTTTAATTTTATAATTATATTGTGGCTGTTAATCTTACCTTTTCTGGCATGAATACAGAACTATAAGTATACTGACTGCCAGACAAATACAGTCTGTCGTGACTGCTTTTTCCAGTCATCAGGAGACACTGCTCAAGAGCATGTCTGTCCTTGCTTATTATATTTGATAAATATTCTAGTTTTAGTTTCTCTCCCTAGAGTGGTGCTGTTTAAGAATCAAAATATTATTTTTAAGTTTAATTGCACCAGCAGATCCAGTTCTTCATGGTTTTTGAGGAGTAGGATCATGACTAATTATTTTATAATCATGAATATTGTTTTTTGATATAGGCAGGGATTTCAGTGATTGTGTTGCTGTTGAATATGCTTTACTAAATATGCTAGTCAGATTCACATGCTGGATGACTTTGAAGTCGGTGGTGTTCAGTAAACCTCTCATGGATTATACAATCCCTGTAATGATGATAACATATTTTTACAGTATCAGAAAATGCATATTTCTTAATAGAAACAGTATTTTGAATCTTTATAAATAGCCTCAATGGCATAGAACGAATTATTTTAGCAATCTTATCCATTATTCAGGAAAGTATCTGTTAAAACTTTCTTAAAGTGAGAGAGACAGAGAGAGAAGATGGCTATTTGGACAGTTTTATATAAAAGCTAACTGCCTTTTTAAAATCAAGAGAGCTGCTTCATACTTTATAAAGCATAAGAACTAATTTATCTGTGATGTGGAAAAGTATTTGTCAAATAAAAAGATGACTTAGCCTTCAAAAAATTGCTTATACTATGGGCAAGGGGATTTGTTAACCAGTTGCCAACATCATACCAGAATTATATTATTTGTATCCATGTGCAAAAATGTGTTTGAATATTTTCAATAATTTTTTTTTTTTTAATTTCAGCAACGAAATCCTGATGTTCGTCATGTGGATTTGGAGATACTATAGACTTGGCAGAAGAAATCATCAGGTTGCTACCGTTTTGGAAAGAAGTCATGTGAAGGGCTTGAAAAACTTCTGAAATTGCAGTGACCTCAGCACCATACCTCGCTTACTTTTGCTGTAGGCTTCCTGGACTGTTAGCACTGCTTCTGTTTCTGGAAGAGCGCTAGACTCGCAGACAAAAATTTCCATGGCAAAATCAATTTAAAAAGAGCTACTTGACTTAGATTCCACAGGAGAGTCTGTTAAAGTATATTTACTGCAATTCAGAACTTAAGACTTGAGGTTTAGTTAGGCAAATATAGCTGCCTGAAAATATACAACACACTTAGTTTTTCCCTTTGTGTCCCTTTGCAGTCAGTTTGCACTTCTTTAGTTTCTTTCAAGATACGTTAAAGGTTCTTGGGAGATATTAAGATTAGCTAGGAAGAGTTTGTTCCAGTGGAACCTGCCAACCTTAAACTAATATTTCAACTGTGTGATTCTTTCACAGTTTTTCTTTTCTATGAGATAAATTCTTTCAAACAGGCACTGACCTCCTCTCAAGTACCATGACCTGGAAACCTGCTTTTTGCCACCATTGTGATCACCAACCGCGCTTCAGAAAAATAAGGTTTTTCTCCTTAGTGGAGTCAGCTGTATGTGGTTAGCCAGAGTATGTTAAGTTACTGTGAAGAAATTACTGTGTAGAGATTTTGGTGAACTTCCTCTGTTTAAATTTTGTTCTTTTTTTTATCCCTACTTTGACACTTGTTCTCTTATTTGTAAGTATCTTCAGATGTAATCTGGGAGATATTTATGGTAGTGCTTATTAAAAGTTACCTGGCATTTTTGGCTTTTTATAATTTTATTAGGCTGTATTGCCAGATATGGTCTTTGCTAGAAAGTGTAAGAGATGTAGTTGGAAGTTAGAATAGTAAAAAATGTATTAGAACTATTTATAATTAAACAAATGAATACATTGTGTTTTTAATTTATTTACCTCTAGACATTATCTCTTACCTGAATTCTAAACTGCTTACTTTGTGTTTTTTAAGAATAGACCTTGCTTGTTTGGGAAAGTAAAGTAATTCCATCAGTGGTCCTCAACAATCCTGAGATAAGCGCTTAGAGTTTATAACTTTGAAATGTGCAATTCTAGCACTGTATATAATCAGCCTCAAGGCTTTCTGCAATAGGCACCCAAGTTGTACCAGATTCTTTGAGACCCAGTCTTTAATAAAGTACTGATCATGCAAGTTGAAATATAAGTGAAATAACTGCATAGAAATAACTCTGAGGAAGATGCTTTTTGCACTTTAACATATTTCAGTAAAATGAGAATTGCTTATGGGTGAGAGGTGGTAATAAGACCCTCCTAGTGACTCAGTTGCTGAGTTAATGACTGACTTGCTGAAAGAAGAAATGTTGATATGAAACACAAGTCTTCAAAAATCAATTTAAGCTTAAATTGTAAGCATTGCAGCAAATAATAATTGTGGAGACCAATATGTCCAGATTTGACTAAAAGCTTTTTAGAATGTTCTTTTTCATACTAAATGTCACTTACCAGTGAATTATGAGCATTTAAAATAGCATGCCTTTTGACAACTGCAAAGCACTTTGCATGCTGGTCATTTTAAGTAGAAAAACATTCCAGAGCTTAGTTACAGACGGGACTTCACATACAGTAATTGTGGGTGAAGGGGTCTCTTTAGTACCCTTGTCCATAATCTATTCACCGGTGGCTTCTTGATAGCATATTAGCTTATGATGGCTCATCCAAAAGAAGGCTTATTTTATCTGTTTTTCTCCTATTGTAGTACTAGTTAGTATATTTAAGCCTGATGATTTGAAATGCAGTTTAAAGGGAATTTGGAAGTGTACTGTATCAAGTAAATAAGGCATATTTTAGCACATTATAAATAATTTACCTTTCTTGTCGCCCTTCCATATAAACTTCATCTCATCTCAGTATGCACTCTGCTGATGTTAGTCTTATTCATGAAGAGCACTGGAATCTGATAATGCATAACCTCTTTCCTTCCTAGAATATTTGTATGGATTTTGAATTTGAATAAACACTTTAAGAAACCTGTTATTCCAGAAAACTTAAAAACCTGAAGAGAAGTGAAACTGGGAAAATGTTCTTGCTGGGGAGGTTAGTGGAGACAGCCAACGTGATCTGAGAGGTTTATATGCTGGAGTTACTGATGAATCAGTAGTTTTGCAGGGCAGAAATTTCACTGAGAGGTTAGTAAATGTTATCTCAATACTGAAGCGTTCCCATATCTTGTTTAAGAGGAGACATGAGTTTATATTCTTACAGGACATCTGCTCCAAAAGCCTATAAAAATGTTTTTTTATTCATGAGAGATGTAATTTGTATGAATTCGGATCTTAATTTCCTTATCTGAGTCAGAAGCATACGCATCCACACACCTTTTGTTTGTATTCCAGGATAAAATTCAGATCCCTGTCTCCCAGTTACATTGCTGATTATAGCATCACAATTTCTTAAATTTAAGAAGCCAGAACTTGAATGTTTTTGGGTACATAACAGTTGCATAGTTTGAGGACCCAGTTCCATTTTTAAAAACGACCCGGATGGTGATGTACCACAAAAAGCCAGGCAGACTGGCTTTGGCAGTACCTTCTAAGTGTACATGTCTTGCAGTTGGATGAAAATAGCGATTCCTTTCCAACCTGAGAGGCTCAATGAAAAGTAATTCCAAGCTGTTATATTTTAATATATATTATAATTTGCAGATTGTTTTTAACAGTTTTGACATTTTTAGTGCTTTTTTCTTAACTGTCTTTATGGTCTAAAACTTGAGGTGATGTGGGTCCAAGTACTTAGTTTACTTTTGTTTTATTGTTTGTGGAGAAAATGTTTAGGTAATACATTTACATGATAGAATCCTCAGAATTAAAGAAAACTTACGAAGTGTGGAGGAGTGGATTTTTTTCTTTATCACAAATGCAATTACATAATGTGTCTTTTAGATTGATTTTCAGGAAAAGGATTTTAAGGAAAAGGAGTGAGGATTTAGCTAAAAAGTTATATTCTAGGATTTTTTCAATTAAGATATGGTGTTTTAAAATTATTTTTGTAGACTGGCCTTGCAGGTTCTATTTTTTTCAGATTGTGTTCAAAGTACTACTGCCCTCTGCTTTGTGAAGGATTGCTTATGTGCTGTGCAGTGTCTCATAATTCTGTAAAACTTGTGATGTTTGAAAAAATCGTCTTAGTGTTCCAATATTCTGAGTGATCTCAATGTATTTGAAGTCAAAGTTGGCTGGACACTAATAATACGTGTTTTCCTGTAAAAGGAATACATGTCTTTCTATAAAAGATAAAATTCTGAAGTGATTATCTTTCCCCCGTCAATCAATTTCAAGTCTAAATTGTCTCCTTCATACACTGTGGAATTGAGTATTGGATGTGGTCCCCCTCTACCCCTCCACTTTCTAAAGCATTTATTAAGCATATTGTAGTAGTAAATACTTCAGTGGACTACTGTATTACAGAGACTGTTTGCTCTGTGTTCTGGTCTAGAAGTAGTAGGGACCTGGTGACCAGGAGAACGTATTTTTTAAGGACAAGTTGCATCCTTTATCCTCTGTGACTCATACGCAAGCTGAAGGGGTTTTAGCCTCCGCTTTTCTCCTTCCTTGAATTCCCACACCGATTTTTTTTTTTTAAATAACTCTTTACTTTTAGAGGAGGAAGCCATTATGAGCATCTTATGTTTTTAATAGCAGGGTTAGATGCTACTCTTGGTCTCTGGATTTTGTGCTGTACTTCTTGTTCACTGACAGTTGACAACAGTGATTGCTGTTTTGAAAGCTACAAATCATGTTAGCCAAAACTACCAGAGTTTTCTGATTCTGGCAGGTGCAGTTTTTTCAGCTATATCCGGAGGCTCAGTTTTTGAGAGATTTTTACTGGCCCCTCTTTGATAAGGGGGAGTACAAGGAAGAGTTTTAGGTACGTTTTGTCTAGGTAATACACTGATTGCAATTCTGTGTTCTCCTTATTTGTTACCATTTTAGCCAGCTTATCTTTTTTCCGTAACAAAGAAAAAATTAAGCATTATGGCAGTACCTCTACTAATGATGAGTCCATCGAATACAGGCTTCCTGCAGAGGTTTTAGGCTTTTGTGTATTCGAAGTGTGGCAATTTTTGAAGATTCTCAAATAAGTAATCCTTTTTCTGAAGTTGATACAGATGTATTTCTTACAAAAGAATCCACAGAAGCATATTGTTTAAGATTTGAAAGAAAAGTATTTAATTTTATGGTCATATGTTCTTAAGGCATTTAGGCTTGGTAGAATAGAACAATTGATTAATATTGACTCCTGTACAAAACCCGACCTTCTGTGCATGCCTAAAGGCTTACAGTGTGGAAGTGAATAAAAATGGACAATGTGCTTTTTTAATTCTAGCTTAAGTATTGTGCTGCTTCTATTCTTATTGTTAGCTCTGAATAGAGAGCACAACTAACATCTCTTTTGCAGTTTGGCTGCTTAATGTAAATGAGAAGTCGAGGTGTACCAAAAAGACTTTACAGAGGGGTTGCGTAGCTTAAATACGTAATTTTTCCTTTCTTGTTAGTGAGACACAAATAATTAAGATCAAAAGTAGACTATATCTTTATTACATATAAAAAGAAATAAGAATCCAGGCTTAAAAGCACAATAGATTTCTGAAATGTGTGTCCTTTGAGGAAAATAAAACGTGCCAGGAGCTCAAAGTGGTTGTATGGACTATAGAAACTGCAGTCAATCAGGCTTTGCTGAAGCAAAAGAAAAGAAGCTATAACGAAGTGTGTGGTAAAAAAAAAAAAAAAATAATACAAGGAAGGAAAAAACCAAGGTGTT